TGGAAGGTAGAAACACGTTCAGCGCTCGTCTGGAACACGGCAGATACGCTGATATGTTGGAGAGAAGTTCTGGATAAGTTACGCAGGGCGTACACTGTGTGATTTTTTTGCCCTTTTCAGGTCGATTCTCCAGTCGTGCGAGAATTTTTCGATCCGGCCGACTTTCAGCCTGATGGTGCGTGGTGTAGTGTACAGGGGGTAACGAGGGGCGATCAGCCTCTGACGAGCACCCCCCCATCAGGAACCATAAGATCAGGAGAAAATCAAAAATCAAACATGTGCCCACCGTCATTGGCAAATCGCTCAGTGGGCAAAGAAGGATTCTTCTTCTTCTTCCTCTCAGATGTAAACCCAGCAGCATGGCGGGGGGGGCAATGAGTGAAATGGAGTCTTCCTGTCAAACTGACAGACCGTAGTAGCCACGTTAGCTCAGCCATGTCTTTGTCCAAATACGTCGTCTTCTTTTCTTTTTAGGGCTTTCAGCACTAAATTGCCCAAATATCCAAGGCAGCGCGTTTCACTCTAGTGAGCTTCATGTTCCTCTGCTACTGGTTTGGCTTCCAGATAGACGAGTCCGAGTAGCGCCATCTCACTGCGGAGCTGAGTCAAACGTAGATGTTTTTAGACGTACAGTGTGAGCAGGCAGATCGCATCAGAGCGTCATGCTCTACAAACATCGTGAGCTGTGAACTCGGATCCCTGCGGTTTCGTCTTACAGTGTGAGCTGTAGCTGCGTGCAATAATTGAAAAAACAATTGCACAGTGTATGCCCGGCTTTAGGCAGAAGTTCTGCACAAGTTACTCAGAGGTTTAGGATAAAATAGACGCCATGACTGATGAGTATCTGACACTGAACGTCTGTCAACCATCAGCTAACTGACGGCCAACGGATGGCAGATACTGGCATGTCAAGACGTCAACATACTCGCCGTATGATGACGTGTGCCAGCGTGCTCATAACTTATCCAACGTATGCCCGCACTTTTGCCAGATTTTTCGTACGTTAGTAATATGCTGGTCTAAATAGTTAAGGTGTGACATCAGAGAAATGGCAACAAGAGGCAACAAAAACATGCTGGAGTCCAGTGGACCAGTAGGTGGCAGTGCAGCCTGAGATCAGCCAAAGAGAACCAGAATGACGCCAACTTGGTAATATAGCCAATCTTCTCTGGGTTTCTGCTACTGGTCGCGACTGGCTACTGGCCACGACCGGCTACTGGCCACG